AGCGGTGAGCGGAGGAGCAGGTACGACGGCGGAGGCGTTGGGAGGAGCGGGGGCGGCGTGGAGCGCTTGATGGCGCGGGGAGAGAGAGAGAGGAGTGAGTGCGAGAGGGAGAGAGTGAGCGAGTGAGAGTGAGCGAGTGAAGGGATAGGGTGGAGCGGCTCGGACAAGGCAATGATGAGGGGCAACCCCTGTCCAGGATGGGCTTTTAGTCTCCTTTAGCGAGGTTTGGGTGACCAGTTGGCTAAATAACATTTAATCCCATTTAGTCAAGGTGTTTGGCAAAAAAATGACTAAATAAAACTAAATTTAGGAGCTTCTAAGTGAACAAACACCCACTTATTGTTGTTGGACAGGCGTGATGCTTGCTTTTCACTTTTCAGACAAGACTTGTGCTACTGTTGCTGGCTGTTTTACGTGGCAATGGCAACAAACTGTACATGCTATGTTAAACAAAATCAAAGATTTAATTGTTGAGATACATTTATCCTGACAGAATGACATCACAAATATTATGCAATAATGGCATTGACGGATAAAATGCAGAAGGCTGAAAAAAGGAGTTCTGCGTGGATCACTTGATGTCTTGATTGCATCAGCAGTGATGGAGCAGCGAAGGAAAGAGCAACAAACGTTCGGTGACTTCAGACTTCAGTCAGCAACGCCAACAGATTGCAACAATAAATTGACACCCGTTGGCTGCAGATGTCGAGAATAACATAAAACACATTTGAGAACAAGTAAACAACTCAGTCAATGTCATCATGCATCGATATTGATCAGGGTGGATTTCTCAGGTGCTCCAGTAGTCCAGTTATAACTATGAAGCCAGGCAAGGAATTAGGAATAGCAAAAAGATTTAGGTTACAAGATCTTTCATGAGATGTAGATGACTGGATGTCGCAAACAATCTTTCTTCTGCCAACGCTGCTCATACTCAGCTAAAAGGCTTCAAATTGACCACCCATTTCAAGTATGCCGATCAAAGAACTTCTCAATTGCCACTGAGAACGCAGCAAACCCCGCACATCCAATGCATGTAGCTTTAGGGCCACCTGTAAAATATAAAACTCCCTTAGGTACATCTTCAAATATAGATACATCAGGACGGCAATATAGGAAATGTCTCATTCTTAGCTAGTTACCTAAGCAGTAAGGGATAGAAAACGTGTATGTCATACATATAAAAGGAACGGAAACACTTTTCAACTTCAGACTATGATCAGAAATACAGATTTACAGTTAATAAAGAGCAGCTTATTGATTTCACCTATATATTTTTGAGATATAGGCAGGAGACCAGAGACACAAATAGCTGGAATAAAGCTGCTTGAGAGGTCAAATATACCGATCCCCACAATCCACACAAAAGACAACGCCAATGATTGCACCATGAGATTTTACCGTTTTAGTTAAGGAAATTTTGATAATTAAAAGTTAGACAAATTGTCTCAGGAATTCATAGATGGCATGACAAATGAATTACCTTTTACAGCTAAAGCTCCTCCAGTGACACAGCCAGCTACTGCTGTATTGGTAGTGTCATGCTTTGCCCGAACCTGCCAAAGCATGCAAATACAAAGTTTAAATAGGAAGAGAACATGCTGAAACATCTATGAATGAAAAAAACTGTTACAGTTATCTACCTTCTCTATGGTACATTCAGCTGCTGAGAAAATCAGACCCATGACTGCAAAGGTTTTGGCATTACTTATACTTCTCCTACCCATCTGCTTTGCTGTGTATACTATTTGCTGCCTTGCTGTCATCTCCTCTGCCATTATTGGGTTGTCCAAAGCTCCAAAGAATAGTCCCATAAGTACACCAAGACCGCCTCCTAATGAATAGGAAGGATAGAGAGTTAATAAAAAGTTACCCATAGAAAAAAAAATTATGCACACTGCTATACTTGTAACAAGAACACTAGACTCTATTGAGTATCATTGGTGGCATGGCCAAGCAGCTGATGTTGTGGGCTATTTAGCTTAAGGTAAGACAAGACATGATTTTCAGTCTACGGTATTAAACACCAAACTATAAAGCAGCTACTGAAGATTTCGTCATGTAGATGATAGATAGAGCACACATTATGAATATCACTAGTTCTGTCTTATAAAACATTTTGCGAAATACAGATGTTGTACACAGTCCCCTGGTTGTGCATAAAAAACACACGGTTACAGGGTTACACCAGGACAAATTTGTGTAAAAGCCTTTGCAGATACCAGATAGAAATAGAATGAAGCATTTGAAATCAAGCTTCCTTCAATAAACTAAGCATCAGATTTCCCTTGTAATTCCTTGTAGTGAGTGAACATGATAATGTGACATGAATCATATCAAATAGTAAAAACATGAGCTTGCTTTTTACTGGTACAGAAAAACAACACTCTATGTTTATTGCTACATGCTTCTAGCAACACTGAAGGTAAAAGAGAAAAACATCATAGGGTGCACAGAGTTAAATGCCTTTCCACCTCTGGGCAAATTCTTTGCAACCTACTTGAAATTTTGTTGAACCAATTCATGGAGTATAGTCCATGACCATCAATTACCATGACAAAACTATACAAAATATTTGTGCTGCAATTACCTGAGGCAAGTACACAACAAATATACTTCATTACCATAAAACATTTTGCATCAAAATTCGTTTCAAGGGATAATAAGATTTTTCTTTGATCTTGTCCAACAACTTATAAGATCTCTAAACAGGCAAGAAGACAAAATGATTATAATAAAACCAACTCCGAATTGATGCAATATGGCACACGAATCCCTTGTCACTTACAAAAGTGGCTTTATATGTTTCAAACTCTTTGGACAAACAAGGGAAGAGCTAAGGGTGTAGTTGGTTCGAGGAACCATGCCATGCTATATGAAGTGGTCCATTATGAATTCATCCCATGAATTTTGGTGGAATCAACCCATTCCTCGTGCATATACAAATTATTAGCCTGTGAAAATGAGGTGGTGATGGATGAACTGATTCCATTCAACAAACCAAACAAAAAATTGAGGAGTGAGACGATGATGGAGCATCTCATTCCGAGAACCAAACACGCCCTAAGTATATAACCATGTAACCAATAAACAACTGCCTCCTATCATACCTCTCAATTTCTCTTTCGCTATCCAATCTCCAAGCGACCAACCGATTAACATTTAGCTCCCTATAAGAGAGGGAGGGAGGGCTCACCCATGACGCCACTGACGACGCTGCGGACGGCGCAGTTGTTCCAGATGTCCTGCCCCTTGATCTCCTCCACCGTCGGCATCCGGATCGGCTCCACGGCAGCCGCCTGGCTCGTCGACTCGCCCCCGGCGCCGGCACCTGCCGCCGATGGATCAGGGGAAGCCATCCCTCGCAATCTAGTCCCCTTACACTCTCCTCTAGGCGACAGAGATAGCAGCAGCCGCACCGCAGCTAGCGAGAGGACGGTTCTGAAAGTTCGAGAGGCGGCACTTACACTCTCCTCTAGGCGACAGAGATAGCAGCAGCCGCACCGCAGCTAGCGAGAGGACGGTTCTGAAAGTTCGAGAGGCGGGTTGGGTGGAGACTGGACTGGAGAGGAGCTGGGACCCGGGTAGTGTGTATCCACGGCGGCGGCTTGGTTTTCTTACACCCTCCTCCAAGAAGAGAGGGTCGGCGCCGCGCAGGGAATCAGAGAGGGTAGTAGTACTATAGACCTGTAGTAGAGGGAAAGCAGAGGACTAGAGGAGGGTATTCTGGACCTCACGTGAGCCACACGAGATGACGTAGTACTTCTAAGATTACGCTAACGTTCAAGGGAAACGGGAATAAGAGAGACAGCACAGCTCTTTCGAGACAGAGGCTTTTACACGTATGCCATTAAAAAAGTTTATAATTACACATAAGTCATTAAAAAAATTTGACCGCACACGAGTGCTATCGTTCTGAACTTCTTTGCTCTCCAAGCCATTCCGTCGGTGTTCTGTTCGTTTTTTTCACCGTTACATGTGGGCCCGATCAGTATAAAGATCCAAAATACCCTTTTGTCGGCATCTTTAGTCCACACCGCTCGCGCTCGCGTCCGAGGCCGGCCTCACGCCCTGACCGTCGGCTGGTGCCAGTACGGGTGGCCGTGGCCTTGCCCCAGCGAGATGTTGAGCTCTGTCCCGGAGTACTGCGCCACGGTGTGCTGCGGCGGCCTGCTGCGTGATCAGTTCCTGCTCTCTAGCGCGCCTCGCTGTGACGACCTGCCTCATGAGCATTTCCCGCTTTCTTTCCATCTCTGCCATGGCGGACAACTCCTGCGACTGCAGGATCCCCTGTGTTGACCCGCCTGGGTGGCCGTTCCCAAGGGTGATGCCGAACTCTTTCTGGGCGTGCCGAGCCTCGGCTTGCCGCGACATGATCTCCAGCCTCTTATCAAGGTCTGGCGTAGACGCTTTCTCAATCTGCTCCAGCATCTCCTGGAGCCACGCAGCGTCCGGGTCCTGCTGCGTCATCATCGTCCTCACTTCCTGCTCCCACTACTTCGTGATCATTGCCCGCTCGTCCGCGAGCTCTACTATGGCGGCCAACTCCTGCAGCATCGCCTGGGTTTCGCCGTCCGGGTGGCCGTTTCCAAGGGCGATGTCGAGACCAATCTGAGCGTGCTGCTGCTGCTGTGCGTCCGCGGCCAGCTGCATCATCTCTTGCTCCGCGAGCACTGCCGCGGCAGTGTGCCGCGAGTTCATGTCATGCACTCTGACAACCTGCCCCGCGGCGGCCACCACCTGCTGGTGCATGTCCGGGTAGCCGTACCCCAGCGTGAGCTCCGTGTCATCGTATTGCGCGGCGAGGTTGTCGAACTGACGAGCACCTCCGGCGGACAGCAACTCCGCCACCACGACCTGATGCTGCTGGAGCAGCAGCAGCATGCCTGCTCACTCGCCACCTGCGACGCAGAAGCGGCAGCCGGCTGGTGCGCCTCAGCCATCTGATGGTGCCACGGCAACGCGTGGTGCACCGCCGCGGGGTCATGGTACTGCTGCGCCTAGGCGAATCGCTGCAACATGTTGCCCATCGTCTTGGCAAGCTCCGTCGTGGAGGCTTCCTCCATCTGCTGCGCCATCTCCTGGGGCCCATCACGAAACCCGGCATACCGCGGGGCGGGGTCTTGGTGTTGCCACGCAGCATTCGGGATCTGCTGCGTCATCGTCAGCACGTCCTGCTCCCTCGCGACCCCCGCCGCCGCGTCCCACTGCTCCATCTCTGTCATCACGTCATTCTTCATTATCTTCTGGTTTCTAGCGTGCTCTGCCATGTCCAACAACTCCTGCAGCTGCAGCATCTCCTGGGATATGTCAACTGGGTGGCCGTGCCCGATGGCATGCTCGTTCTCGGCGTGTTGCGGCACAAGGTGCTGCTGCTCGCCCGTGGCGTCGGCGAGCTGCATCATAGCTTCCAGCAGAACCGAGGTGCTGCCCTGTCCCGGCGTTCTGCCCGCAGCAGCATCTCCTGCATGGCGCGGTTGCCCTGTCCCAGCGTGTTGTCCCGCATAATCGACGTGCTACGGCGGCGCGGTTGCCGGGGCCTCCACCGACCTCATCGCCTCCTCCCGCGATGCCTCAGCCACGGCAGTCAGCTGCTACGCCTCCGACATCTGCTGGTGCAGCTGCCCGTGCCCGTACCCCTCCGGGATGCGCGGCGGCTCTATCTCCCCGTGCTGCGCGGCGAGGTGGTGGCCGTGCTGCTTTGTGGGCGCGGCCTGCCGCATCAATAGCTCCTTCTCCCTCTCGGCCTCCGCCACCGCCATCTGCTGGCGCTCACGCTCGTCAGGGAAGCCCGGCGGCCTGGAGCTGCGCTGCTTTGCAACCCGCAGCATGAGCATTGTCTGCTCGCTCAAGGTGGGCTCGCGGTGGCGCTTGATGACGTCGATCCCCTTCCCGGCGTTCCTCCCCGTCCCCGTGCCCGGCTCGTGCAGCTCCCTCCACCTGGCCTCGTTGGCCTTCTGGACGCCGAGCAGCCTGGCGTCCTGCTCCCTGGCGTGCTTGAGCGCGGCTTCGACCTGCTGAAAGGTCCTCGTTGGTTTTGGTAATTGAGTGACAATCTAGGTGGATTAATTGTGTTTATGTGAGATACACAGGTGATTAGTCCACAGGTACATGTGTATGAGCAACATATGCCATGGAGGTGAAAATGGCTTGGAGATGTTGCAAAGCTCACACATGTGATGATGAAGGAGCTTATTGCACATGAGACATGACATTGAGTCATGTGATCAAGGTGGAGAAGATCAAGACAAGACTTGGCTTGATGGACCGATTGCAAGCGTGAAGGGCAAGTCGAAGGCTTTGGAGTGATGGACCGTGTGGCGGTGAAGCTTGAGCAAGACTTGGCGTCGATGGACGATGGCAACGGTGAAGAGCAAGTAGAGTCAAGATCGATGAACTAATATGATCATGTGATGATATGAAGTGGATCATATCATTGTTGATCGTGTTGGTACATGTGTTGCATCGACATTGAAGGAGATGGAATGGAATGCGCAAGGCAAAGGTATAACCTAGGGCATTTCATTTCACCGGTCATAGGTGTGTAGAGAAGTTTATGACCGGGTTTATGATAGATGGTCGTACTATCAAGAGGGGCAAACTTGTTTGCATATCGGTCATCTAGTGCCACTCGAGTGATCTAACTTTGCATTGTCGCTAGGATCGAGTGGCGTGGCAAGTTGAGTGGCTAACATCCTTTGTGAAATGATTGTGAAAATGCTAACACACATACATATGGTGGTGTACACTTGGTGGTGTTGACACATTTACAAAGGAGGTGGTGTTTGCAGGGGTGAGATGGGATTCGACACTTTCGGGAAAATAGAATGCCTATTTTCTATTGCGCCGGATGCAAGTTCTTGTGGTTAGCACATTGGAGCAAGGGTGAAGAAGTTAGAAGTAAAAACGAGTTAGTCGCGAAGATGCTGGCGTCGGTCAACTGACCGGACGCTGGATCTGAATGCACCGGATGCTGGCCGGCTGCGTCCGGTCAAGCTGACGTATGTTGACGCAGAAGCTGGAGTGTGACCGGACGCTGGCTGCGTCCGATCAAGTGTGACCGGACGCGTCGTCCGGCCGAGGTCAATATCTTCATTGAAATGACCGGACGATTTGGGGTTCGGCCGTCCCGCCGCGATTCTTCTCTGCGTCTGGTCAAGTCAAGTGACCGTTGGAATCAGGACACGTGGTAAATACTGCGGGCGCCGGACGGACGCTATGTCCGGCGTCCGGTCAACACGACCGAAAGCGTCCGGTCGGCCCGACCGTTGCCCGATGAAGGGGTAGCGGCTAGTTTAGCCCTTGGGGCTATAAATAGAAGTGGCCCTCGGCCATGGCTGGTTAATGAGCACCTCAAGGGACTTAGTGTCCATGCTTGTGAGTGCTTGGGAGCCCTCCATCACACATATACTTGATAGTGATCATTCGATTGTGTGAGTGAGCGATTCTAGTGCGATTGCATCGTGAGGTTGCATCGAGTGGCACTAGGTGGTCGTGTTGCAAGCCGATGGTGCTTGTTACTCTTGGAGGTTGCCACCTCCTAGACGGCTTGGTGGTGGTCTCCGTCGAAGGCGCAGAAGAAGCTTGTGCGGCGCTCCGGAGAAGTGCTTGAGAGGGCATTGTGTGCTGCCAGCATGGAGTCGCCAAGAGCAACTTTAGTAAAGCGTGTCATTGAGCTACCCTCACTCAGGGGTAGAGTTCTTGCGGTGCCCGACGTGCGGGCTTAGCGGGTGATGCTAATTAGCCGCCGAACCACCAAGTGAGCGGTCGACACAACGGGGACTAGCGTGTTGGCAAACACGTGAACCTCGGGAGAAAAATCATCGTGTCAACCTTGTTCTTCCCGTTGGTTTGTATCCCCATTACACAAGCTTGCAATTACTTATATATATATCTTAAGCTTGTGTAGTTGCTCTTGTAATTAGATAGCTTGTGTAGCTAGCTAATTACCTTCTTGCTTGTGTAGCATAGAAGTAGCTCCCTTGCGTGGCTAATTTGGTTTTAGTAACCTTGTTAGTCACATTGCTTAGTTTGTGTAGCTAAGTATTTGCGCTCTCTAATTAGGCGTTGGTTGCCTTGTTATTGAGCATTGCTAGTGAGCTTAGTTAGCTTTGTGCTTTTGCTTACTAGCATGTGTAGGAGCTCCCTTGTTACTTGAAGTACTAGTGGCATAGGCTTGTGTGACCTTGCTCCTAGAATTGTTTAGGAGAGCTCTAGCTTGCCCGGCACCTTAGTTGCTTTATTAGTATCTTTGCAAGGTGCTAGTGAACATATATAGAGGGGTGTAGTCTTGGCTAGACCGATTGTTTTAATTCCGCATTTATATCGGTTAGCCGACGCGATTAATTTTAGAAAAGACTATTCACCCCCCTCTAGTCCGTCATCTCGACCTTACACTTGCGCCCGCGCCTCCACCCTGACCGCGGGCACCGCGGCCGCGACGTCGATCGGCTCGGCCGCGGCCAGGGCGCTGAACTCCCTGCCGCGCCTTGGCCTCCTCGACGAGCGTCGCCGCGGCCACTCGCCGCTGCTCAGGGAGCTCGATGCGCTCCAACATCTTGGACACGTTGCTGGGGTGCGCTAGAGAGCAGGAACTGATCACGCAGCAAGCCGCCGCAGTGCAGCAGCAGCACCCCATGGCGCAGTACTCCGGGACAGAGCTCGACATCTTGCTGGGGCAAGGCCACGGCCACCCGTACTGGCACCAGCCGACGGTCAGGGCGCGAGGCCGGCTTCGAACGCGAGCGCGAGCGGTGTGGACTCAAGAAGCCGACAGAAGGGTATTTTGGACCTTTATACTAACCGGGCCCATATGTAACCGTGAAAAACGAACAGAATACCGACGGAATGGCTTAAAGAGCAAAGAAGTTTAGAACGATGGTACTCATATGCGGTCAATTTTTTTAATGACTTACTTATAATTATAAACTTTTTTAACACCGTACGGAGTACATGTAAAAGCCTCTTGTTATCATCCGACCCGTAGCGTGGCCGTTCGATTCGTCTCAGGTTCCCTTCCCCAAGCACAACACAGAGCATCGTCTGCCCGCCCGCACCCCGCCGCCGCCGTCTCTCCAAAACCCAACCAAACCCTAGATCCGCCGCCCTCAGCTCCGGTGAGACCCTCCTCCCCAGCGAAGATGCCGAACCTCGAGTGCCGGATGTATGAGCAGCGGTTCCCGGAGGTGGACGCCGCGGTGATGATCCAGGTGAAGCACATCGCTGACATGGGCGCGTACGTCTCCCTGCTCGAGTACAACAACATCGAGGGCATGATCCTCTTCTCCGAGCTCTCCCGCCGTCGTATCCGCTCCATCTCCTCCCTCATCAAGGTTGGCCGCCAGGAGCCCGCCATCGTGCTCCGTGTTGACCGCGACAAGGGCTACATCGACCTTTCCAAGCGCCGCGTCTCCGAGGAGGAGGCGCACGCGTGCGAGGACAGGTACAACAAGTCCAAGCTCGTGCACTCCATCATGCGCCACGTCGCCGAGACGCTCGAGGTTGACCTCGAGCCGCTCTACCAGCGGATTGGCTGGCCGCTCTACCGCAAGTACGGCCACGCCTTCGAGGCCTTCAAGCTTATCGTTGCCGACCCTGACGCCATCCTCGACGCACTCACCTATGAGGAGAAGGAGGTCGGCCCAGACGGCCAGGAGGTTAATTCTGTTTCCTTGCAGAATTGCAAATCACTAACTCTCCAAATTACCTGTGTGCTTTATGCTATACTCTGAATAGAACAGGACTAGCAGATTAATATTGTTATTGTTTGTGCATGTTAATTTTTCTTGTCAGGCCTCTTCCATTAATCAAATACTTTTATTAAGAAACTTAGGTCTATAATGAATTGTAGTTACTTTTTGGAACTTTAAGTCTTCTACTATTAGACCTCTCTAGTCTTTTAGAGCCATACTACTTTGTGGCCCTGTTGTTGAGCTTTTGCCCCATATGAAGCTTGTCTGTTGAATGGTTATTTCCAACTTTGTGGATGTTGTTAAGTAAATAACACTGAGATTATTGATTGGTTTGACATTTTTATGCTTGACATCTGTTAGTTGAAAACAATCCTTATCAATCTAACATTCACCATTGCAACCTGGATAGTCATTCTTGTGGCTACTTATGTTGTTTGAACATGATTAGATTTAGTGGTGGACAGATTAAGTAGGTTTGGATGTTGCAGACTTGTTCCATGTCCTTATTTAACAATAGGCATTTTTACGTGTTTACGTGTACATACTATGTCGACTTCAGGAACAAGTAGGAATTTATGTAAAAACTATAGCAGTAGTTTGTCAGACTTTTTTTGGATCAGTACCAATTTGTATATAATTTAGTTTGTTTGTCTGTCAATGAATACTTGTCCTTGGAATGGTAAATCCTGGCCTGTTGACTCATGTTATGTAGATACCATGCTATGGAGTTATATTCAAAAAAGCTCATTCTGAACTAATGTGAAACGCATGCCTTTCAAATTATTAGTAACTGATCAGGAATCATTGAATATATCAAGTTGGAATTTCCAGGCAGTAGATAGACAGTTGTATAGCTTGGTTTAGGTGCTTAACTTCGTATGCAGTTTATTGTATACGAAAACAGTTGCCAAAATTATGTGCATTGATTTAAGAGTTCTGTTTATGTTATTGGGATGATGTTCCTGCTTTATGTTAATACTTTGTTGTTAAAAAGAGTTATGGATTTGCTCTAGATGTATTTATATAGAACTGTTTGATTCAAGAGTGTGCTTAAAATTACTGATAGGTGACTAAGGTGGTGCCTGCTGTCACCCCTGAGGTTAAGGATTCCCTGGTGAAGAACATAAGGAGGAGGATGACACCACAGCCACTCAAGATCCGTGCTGATATAGAGATGAAATGCTTCCAGTTTGATGGAGTGCTCCATATTAAGGTTCTAAATGCCTCTATTGCCGCCCTTGTGATTTGACAATGGTATATGCAAAAACTAATTATATATGTATTCGCAGCAAGCTATGAAGAAAGCTGAAGCTGCGGGCAATGATAACTGTCCTGTGAAGATTAAGCTAGTTGCTCCTCCACTTTATGTTCTGACCACACAGACTCTTGACAAGGTTGGTGTTACCTTAGTACTTAATATATGTGGGCAACTTGTTATAGCTGAGCTATTTGATAAAGTTTCGTCTGTGTCTCTATGATGAGGCCCATTATTATACGTTGCTAAGAATTGTTGTGGCCTGCCAACCATTATTGTGGCGCCTGTTCTGTTTGACAATGCTTTTGGTATTTTTCCTTTTACTGGGAACCTGATTTACTGGTTAGCGTTGTGCTTGGAGTCACATTGCACAAAATGCAGTGACCAGACTTTTATAGTGCAGTATTGTCTACACTATTTATAATGTAGTAATCTGTCAAAATGGTTCTTATCAACGTAGTTTACAATTATTGACTACACAAAATGCAGTAATCTGCCAAATTTATATTGCAGTATTTTCTGGTTCCAGACTTTTCATGGTTCTTATCAATGTGGTTCACAATTTTGCCTTTATTCGAATTAGGGAATTATTCGCTAGCTTGGATCACTATGGAATGCTATTTCTTATTACTTGTTAACAGATTTTATATTAGGCAGCCTGAAAATATATTAGCTAGCCATTATTTGCATGCTTATCTAATGAAACACCTTGTGTTTTGCCTTTACCATGCTGTACATGCATGTGAGCATGGGTCATCTTTATATTTCACCCCATGTATTGCAATCATTAGATGTTCTTTTAGTTTGAAACCTAGCATTACGGTTAAGGTCGCATCATATCCTTCCTATCCATAAAACAATTATCATTGTTTCTTTTCTGTGTTGCCTTTGAACAGGAACAAGGCATTTCAGTTCTCACTGATGCAATCAAGGCTTGTACAGCAGAGATTGAAAAATACAAAGGAAAGCTAGTAGTGAAGGAACCACCAAGAGCTGTAAGTTCTTTTCAACATCTGTTAATTCTTTTTATATTCCCATCCCAAGCATGTTAGTCTTCCATATGCATGTTCTAAAACCTAAAGCTGTGGATACTATCTGGAAAACAGGTTAGCGAGCGGGAAGACAAGCTATTCCTTGACCAGATTGATTCCCTAATGGAGCAAAATGCAGAGGTCGATGGTGACGCTGACAGTGAAGAGGAGGAAGATACAGGAATGGGTGATGTCGACATTACAAATTCTGGCGTCACTGCTTACTAAAGCTACACTGGTTGATTTGGATGAGATTTGCTGTATAGCACCAGCTAAGATCTAAGCCGTTCTGTTTTGAAGCAGTTTCTTTTTGTTAGGTTTTTGTGGCTGAAATCCCTTGAATTCACTGAAACTTGTTACCTGCGGTGTTAATGTTTTGGGCTCAGCCGGTGTCGGGGTAGCTTTTACTTCTGTCGAGAAGCACCAAATTTTTCTTGGGAGTGAAAACAAAGCCCGTTGCTATACAGTGTTTATTCACTTCATCAGAGACGCATCTTGTTTGCCTTTGGCTTTTTGGCTTCGTGCTGCTTATTCGAATTGGCCTGCTTCGCTAGGCTTGCGGCTCTGATTTACTAGTAAACATGACCATGCCCTACTTGTGACAGGATGTATCATGTATGATTTGTTTCCCTGTGTTCGTGCTAATAAAATAAGTCTAACGTGAAATAGTTTTTAGGGTTTATAATAAATGCCAATGTAATGAAGTATTAATGCTATACAGGAGATTAACTAAATAGGTGACAAGAATTTGAAAGGTAAATAAGTGGATTATATGAATTTGAACCAAACTGCTCAGTCAGAAGGTCACCTTTTATCTGGGTTTGGAGGGTTTTTATATCTGCGTGAGGTCACCTTCTATCTTAACTAAAATACTTGGGGCTGTCTACCCTCGCGGATTGAGTTTTTATATAACTACTGCTTTTAACCACCTAGAAATCCCTGCCTCCTCATTCCTTCTGCTACTGTTCAATTTTCCCTTTTTTCCCCCCTTTTTCGTTTTTTCCTTTTTTTCTTTCTTTTTTTTTTCTCCTTCGGACTACGGCTCCTGTTCTTTTTCCTTTTTTTCCCTTTCTTTTTTTTTATCCTCCGGGCTTCGACCACTGTTTGGTGTTGTTGACCATGCCATGTTAGAGGGATGCGAACATGCTTAGCCAACCAAGCCATGTCATTTCTAGTGCTAACCAGGCCATGTCATTAGTTGTACTAAACCAACGACAAACAGTAGAGAGCGTGGTTGACGGACGGCGGGAGACAAAAGATAAATGAGGGCACTCTTTAATATTAGATACAGATAGACTAAACAAAAAATGTGTCTGAGCTTATCCAAAGTCCTTTGTACACCGTTTGATCATGAATGGTCCTTTGTGCACAGTTTGATCCGAGTTGTTATCGAGACAATGTAGAACACTTGTTTCATAGAGTAGCTCCAAGAATCTCTTTATATCATTTTGTATTGTTAAGAGTAGAGATTTTGGAGATGGCCTGCTTGCAACTGAGGATTGAGTATAAGGCTGCAGCTTTAGCAATACTTGGTTACCCACTGCAAACTGCCTGTCTAATCTATGTTTGTTTGCCTGCATCTTCATCCTGTTTTGAGCATGTTCCAGTCTCTGCTTAAGAAGCTTGAGATGTTCTTCCCGATTAGTAATCACTTCTGTGACTGCTTGAGGTGTATCTTCAGTAGGTAATGGACTGGCCCCTAGATTTGGTTCATACCCATACAAGGTTTTGAAAGGAGAGCAACCCAAAGCACTGTGGAAGGAAGAATTGTACCACAACTCTGCTAGGGATAACCATGATTTCTAGCTTGGCCATCAGTTTGTGAATGGTATGCAGTAGACAGTGTCAAGTTTACCCTGTATAGCTTAAACAACTGTTTCCAGAAATTGCTGACAAAGATCTTGTCTCTATCACTGACAATGCTACTTGGTAAACCATGCAATTTGACAATATTATCCATAAATAGTTGAGCCACAGTTGTATATGGATGTTTCGTGGGTATAAAATGTGCAAACTTGGTGAGTCTATCAACTACTACTAATATCACACTGAATCCCTCAGATTTAGGCAGGCCTTACACAAAGTCCATAGATACATCCTGCCAGACACCAGCTAGGATAGGAAGTGGCTGGAGTAAGCCAACTGGATGATCATGGGAGTGTTTAGTTTGTTGGCAGATAGTGCATTGTTTGACATAACTGTCCACATCAGTTTTTATGCCCTTCTACAAGAAAAGTTTCTTCAATCGATCATATGTAGCATTAACTCCAGAATGCCCTCCAATAGCAGATGCATGAAAAAACAGCAATACGTTTAGTTTGCAAAGCTGAATTGTTGCCAATCCAAATAATTGTACCTTTTCGGATCAGGCCTTTGTCCAAGCTGAAGCCAGATACAGCTAACTAGGACATTAACTTCTGGTCTTGGACATTTGTAGCATATGAGTTGAGGACTTATTGAATCCACTGGGGTTGAACCTGTGAAACAGCTTGTAGTGCCATCATATGGGCCACTCTTGAGAGGCATCAACTGCTTGTAATAGATTTTGAATTGTAGTCCCATAAGTCTTGTCATTGCTTTTTTCTGCAGTTCAGAGTGGAGGTTCTGTTCATTCAGATAAGACAATGATATGTGATCATTTAATATCATGAATTCCTGCCTTTGCAAATATGGTCTCCATTTCTCTACTGCCATGATCAAAGCTAAGAATTCCTTCTCATAAATGGAGAGAGTTTTGTGTTTATCTCCCAAAGCTTTGCTCAGATAGGCTATGGGTTTCCCCTGTTGCATTAAGACAGCTCCAATACCATCAGCACAGGCATCAATCTCTACATGGAATGGCCGTTGAAAGTTGAGTAAAGCCAGCACAGGAGTAGTAGTCATGGCCACTTTAAGATTGTCAAAGGCCTCCTGAGCTTGAGCTGTTGAAAATGTTTATGCCTGAGAACATTTGTCAGTGGTTTGTCAATCACTCTATAATTCTTCACAAATTTTCTGTAATATCCTGTTAAACCTAGAAATGCTCTCAATTCAGTCATTGAAGTGGGGTTTGGCCAATGCAGCATATCTCTAGTTTTATTTGGATCGCCATACCCTTTGTCTGAGATAATATGACCAAGGTATTCCAAGCTTGACTGAGCAAAAGTGCATTTGGATGATTTTAGATACAATTAGTTTGCCGTAAGTACCTCAAAGACTTGTTGAATATGTTGTAGATGGTCTCCCCTGGTGGCACTATAGATGAATGTCATCTAAAAATACCAAGATAAATTTCCTCAAGAATGGCTAGAGCAGTTGATTCATAATACATTAAAAAGTTGCTGGTGTATTAGTAAGGACAAATGGCATGACCTTAAACTGAGTGTCCTTGATGGGTCTTAAATTCAATTTTATGCTCATCATTGGGTAACATGCTGATCTGATGATATCCAGATCTCATGTCCAGCTTGTTGAAGAACTTAACCAGCTAGTTCATCTAAGATCTCCTCTACAATTGGCATAGGAAATCTATTCTTGAATCTCGTAGCATTCAGTTTTCTGTAATCCACACAAAATCTCCAATTGCCATCCTTCTTCTTCACTAGCAGCACTAGGGTAGCAAATGGACTGTGACTGTGAGTAATGAGTCCAGCTTCCAACAATTGCTTCACTTGATTCTCAATCTCTGTCTTGTGTTGGGGAGAGTAGTGATATGGTATGGCATTGACAGGCACTGCATCTGGGTACAATGGGACATCATGATCATAGGCTCTGTGTGGTGGAAGCTGTTTGGGATCCTGAAAAATATCTGCATACTTGTGGCAGAACCGCCCAAAATAGCACGCTTTCAGAGGCGCTCGTCTTCCACCAGACACTAAGCACCCCGAAGGTAAGCTACATCGGACGGTTCCATCGAGCACACCCCAAGGAAGAACTCGAATAATCCATGTTTTTCCTCCAGGATCTAATAATGAGAACGAGTTTACAATACTTAGTCAATTTCATACGATAAGAGTTCTTAGAAATACATTATTACAATATCAAGTTCAGAGTACGGAATTTAAACAGCGGAATTAAAATAAACATCTAACGATAAGATACAAGGATCCATCTGTGCCCACCAGAAGAATTCTTCAAACAACAACTACTCCTCAAGCTGCACCTAGAACGGGGGTAAATAAACCCTGAGTACACAATGTACTCGCAAGACTTACCCGACTAGTGAAAATAATTTCCTGACTCCAAAGAATATGATAAGTTTTATGGTTTGCTGGGTTTCCTTTTTGCGAAAAGCCTTACTAGTAGTGCATCCTTATGTGTGTTTCTTATTAGTAGTCATGATTAGTTCATTATCTAACCATTCTATGTAAGTACCTATTCTACTTTCAAGCAAGAGTTGAGCAATCAGATCCATTTCACCATCTTTCATCTTTCAGTTCTTACTACGGTGCTAGATCGTAGACAAGTCGTACCGTATTACACGGCGATTCGCGAATCAATGTAGCCCAGCTGGGTACCCCAAAACACATGCCCCTCTTGTACCCTAGGCACAAGCAGGACCAACCCACCACTCTTCTGTCAAGGGGTCCAGGTCCCCGTCCAAACTTGGATTCTAAGCCCCCACACCTGAGTCCCGGACTCAGTGTGGTGCTTAGACCTCCACCATCCCCGCATCCAATCAGTCGGTCCAGAAAGAGCCGGAACCCACGATAAGAGAGCAACGAGCCTTCCCTCTCCCATAAGTAAATATGTGCTCAAAATAATAAGTTTGTTACCTAACTAGAATCCAATGCAACGGATGGTGCTTAACCGACACGGACAGGAAAAACAATGTAACCAAGCTATGCCTCGTTAGCCACGGGACATAACCTATTACACCCACCAATACCCGTACCATATCTCTACTCGGTCTCCATTTTTTATTTCACCATTTTATTATGAGGGTGATAATAATAATCACCTATTGCGACTAACGGTAGGTTACTCACACTACTGATAGCCTAAGCATAGCAGTTACTCGACCTATGCTAGTAGGACCCATAGGTCGGTTTATCTATGCATGTAGTTTCAATAATAAGACTGTAACGTAAATGCGCATCACACACATATATATATATATATCTAGTGATTATTCAAAATAAGGGTTATGCACCAGGGCTTGCCTTGGGCAGGCGCGGAGTCAGCTCAGTCAGTTAGTGGCGGCTTCAGGACCACCTCCTAAACGAGGATCTCCACCTCGTACTCCTCGA